TATCATGACTATGTGATGAAATGTTGTAAGTGCAAGATAATGGAAAGTTTACTACACAAAGATTGTAGCTGGATAACACAGAAAAGTATAGCTATGATCAGAAAACATACCGTAAAAGAAGCAAAGATTGCCGAAACTGAATGAGACTCTTTCCAGGGTTATGTCCCAACATCTGATGTATGATTGCCAGAGATCCAATGTCATCAACAGACGACCACTGATCATATAGGTGCATCCAGCAATCAGCTTGGCTCAATTGCTTAACCCGATGGCTGAGAAGCTCAACCAAGTAATCCCCACTAACCTTTCCATGAAACATCATGTAATTGGGTTCTAAAGTTAGTAACACACGGATATCTCGGAGAGCACTTTCATAATCTTCAAGTGCGATGAAGAACCAAGCCCGTAATTCAATGCAGTCAGGTGAGAGCTTAAACCTAACAGTTCTATCAATCTCCAAAATAGCTGCTCTAATTTGCTTCTCCTCCGCCTTTGCGACAGCTCTATATTTATATGGAAATAAAAGAGTGGTATCTAATTCAGTTGCAGTGCTCAAATCCAAAATCTTCTCTTTCCCAATGTTATAGAGGGCACGTTCCTGGTACATCCACCCAGCGGGTTTATACTCGGAAATAATAGAGCTCATCAATGTATATGCTGAATACTGCTGCCCCTGTTTGTATTTGGTCCTTGCAACACCAGCCACTGAATAAACATGTCCTGCCTTAGCAGCAGCCAGAAAACGAAACTGGGCATCCTTAAACTCTCTTCTCTCAAGCAAAACACAACCCAATTGATGCAACACAAGTGTTTTCTGCCACCTCTCGGTTGTACATTCTTCCAACCTCTCCAATATCATCACAGTTGTCTTAGATACCATACTTTCCTCCATAGCCACATGGCTTAGAAAATAATACAATAAGAATCCATGCCCTGCCATGGCCAATCTCTCCCTGACCTTGGAGCTACAAAGAAATTTCATCACCTTCGGATTATACAGAGAACTGGGGAGCCCTCTCAGCAATACCTGCAAGCAGGCAGCTACAAGAAGATATGCCATCTCCTCCAAACCATACTCAATAAGAACCAATGCATCATCAATGTTATCAACCAGTGAGGCTAAATAAGCATCACAAGCAGACTTCATCTCCTCACAACAGAACCTATTTGCAAAAGAAAGTAACTCCACAACAATCTCAGGACTAAACAAGTCCAATCTCCTAGTCCTACTATACATTTCCACAGCTCTCATTCCCTTCACAGATATCCCATTTTCCGAAAAATCAATCTTACCCTTTTTCGATTCTTTGAAACATCCATACAACATAGCCTCAAAAGGACTAGAAAGCGATGCAATTTTACACCTTGCACAATTGATTTCTACATTGCCAATACAAAATGAAACATCACTTTCCTCCTCCTCCTCCTCCAAACTCACACACTCATTGCCCTCAAATATAAGCATATTGACAGCTTTACTGGGGTCATGATCACATTGGCAATGACCAGAAACCAAATTTGGATCAAACCCATTTACCAAAGCAACCTGAGGACACTCAAGAACTTGCCCACTACAAGCCATAGCAGACATACCCACAAGCTCATCCTCTCTCCTCTCAAACCTCAACCAAGCCGAAAGCACAACCTTAGAGTTTACATCAACAGCATTTTGACGAGCAGCACGAAGACACCGGCGAAGCAGCTTGGGGTCACCAAGACTGCGCAAGAGAGAATACTGCTCAATACATAACAAAGATTTATCAGATTGAGACGAGCAATTCTCTAAGCGGTGATAGAGGTCAGCTAAGATTTCAACAAATTCAGTGGGCTTGAGGTGAGGCTCTATGGAAGGTTCAAGCAGGTCAGTTGCAGGAAGTCCATAAGGCAGCAGAAGAGCTTCAGTCACAGAGAGTGAGTTGAAACTTTTGGGCTTTGAATTTGACCCAAAAGATTTAATCAGGTGACTGTTAAGCTTAGCTCTTGAAACACCAACATGGGTTTTACCATTGGAGGTGTCTGTAGGATTGAGAGCGTGGACTTGGGTACTTGTGAATCGGTCTAAAAGCTTTAGACCACGCATATCTAAATGACAATAAATCTTCTGCATATATGAACAAACAGAGAATAAGATTATAAAGTTTCAAGCTTTACCACCACCAAGAGAGAGCGAATAATGTTGAGCTTTTACCTCTGGCGTGCAAAAACCACCCAGAGAAACACAGAGAGAAAGAGAGAGAGAGAGAGAGAGAGAGAGAGGCTGTGAAGCAGGCTACAGGCCAAGATGGTGTTAGTTTCTCGAGAATAAAAATGGAAGAAAATGGTCTCTGCTTTTGGGTTTTCTCTTTTCATTCATGGGTGGATATATTCTTTATGCAAAGCAGCAAAGCCTTCTCTCTTGTCTCTGTCTTTGTCACTCTGCTCCAAAGGGTTTTGGTTAACCGGAAAGTTTAGTTGTTTAGGTGGCTAGCTCCAAAGCAAGGAGTTTATCGGAGTCAGTTCATCACCCACCATTGTTAACCACTCCAATCTTGCCACGTCATCTACCAAATGGGAAAATTAGCCTGCCCAGGTGAGTTGGTCAACTGGATAATTTTCAATTTAAGCTTATCTTGAGCTTGACTGCTAATTAATTAACGACAAAATGAAGATTAAGGAGAAATTGCATGTTAAGCAAAGGTCCTTGGCATTGAGTAAGCTTGTAAAGAAATGTAGTTACAAAAGTTCACGCGTCACATCCGCACCAAATAGATTCTTATAATAGGCAAACTTCTTTCTTTACCAACATTAGAAGTGAATTAGTTACACTTACTAAATTCTGATTTCTATCATGAGAAATCTTTTCCTTAAACAAGATAAATGCATCGAGCCTTAATGAACATAAATCTCGCCTAGTTATTATTAAATAAATTTCATGTAATTGTTATTAAAGTCCGATACAGTACGAATTTGATCCTCTCACGAACAATGCAATTTGATGGTTTCTTTTAGTTAAGGACTACTTGCAGAAGCAGACTACAAAAGCATTTTGCGCATAGTTTCTGTTCTAAAAGCTTCACTTTCAAGTTGTAGGGATGAGAAAATCCTCAAATAAAATGAATAGTTTGGTGCAATGGTGAAATGTCAAAATCAAACATGGTCCTACAAGTTGGTTTTATAGGACCATAAGGCACCACCCTATAAAAATCCCAACTCTTAGGTTGTATATATTATGCATGAATTATCACAATAAGGAGCTAATACTTATCAATATTAATAAATAAAGCAAGGGAGAATAGACCAAATTAATAAATTATTAATGGGTTAGGAAGACATTAGATCTAAATACACCTTCTTTATTTTTATTTTATTTTATTTTTGCTTTTCATAAATCAGATAATTTAAACTATGTGGTCTTTCTCCTGCCACTAGCTTACTCATACCTTTAAATATTGAATGGCAAAAATATATTGGAAGTTAGTTGAGCATCTGTGTCTACGACAACACAGCAACTTGCAACCCTATCTAATTTTTTTTTTTTTAAAAAAAAAAACAAGAATTATGCTAGCACAACAAATAATAACAAGGCAGAGGGGAAAACAAATAATATAGGCCAACCAGATCACAAACAGTGTATAGAAAAGAGCCAGGAAATATGATCACGTGCTTACAAGGCGTGTCTAAAAGACCCATGTGAGTGTTCTGAAAGTGCCATTGTTTCTCACCAGTTCTTGACAGCAGGCCAGTTTGCACTAACTTGTGTAAGTGATAGTATTGTCTGCTAAAACAATATGTACTTGTGAAACTTATAAATTTCTACTACGTTTAAGAATTTGATAAGGACAATCTCCCTCCCCCACGTGGGTGCTTTTTGACCGTCGATGGAATGTACACATCAACGGTCAGCATGCGAGCGACTAACCGTAGCACAACTCAGTGTGTGAGCGACTAACCGTATCGCAGCTCATGTTAGTCAAATATTTAGGACAGTCATCACAAGTTCAACAATATTTTGGGTCACGTTATCACAAGTTCAATAGAATAAGGTCAAACAAGATGGCGCCGGATACAAATAAATGAATTCAGATTAGATTGGAAAATAGATGTGGCTGAAAGAAGACGGGCATAAATGCATCAGACATGTTTTAGATAATTAGCAAACAGCATGAATGGATTTCCAGCTATACGGCTCCCATATCAGCAGGCAATACAAACTACATACAATTATCAACTTCAAAACTCATCACATAATTCACACGTGAAGAAGATAGATGGCACCCACTCGATTATGGTTCCTTACAAATTTTATACTTATATAATTAAGCATTAAAATGACTGGCTATAAAGACAATAATTAGAGGAAATAAAATAAAACAATACCAGCTCCAGTATGCACCCCAGGATATGTGCTGCTATGAAAGAAACGAAAGGCCAGCCGAGTGAAGAAGCAAACCAACCATTCCTGATCGGTTCGTGATGCGACCTTCGAAAGCATAATAAAGTTCAAGGAGGAGTTGGAACCAAAAGGATGAGATGAAATCAGTAGAACTAGGAAGAATATTGGTAGTTATTGGGAATGTTTAAATGGCCTTGGTCATAAATTTGGCCCCGGGAGAGCATAGTTGTATTTAGTCATGCACACAAGCATACAACAGATGTAAGAACCATGCAACAAAAGAAACATATATCACACAACTGTTAAACACATATTATCGATAAATCAATTTTATGATAAAACTGCAAGTCAAGGACACAGATGCATGAGAAGTTTGAACTTAGAAATTCAGAACAAATCGAGAAACCGCAGAAACATACCTGTTGCATTTATATGAAGTCTACTTAATTACTTAGTGTTGAAACTTCATTATTATGTTTCACAGCAGCCACCATATACACAAGTGAAAGATCCCCGAGAACAAAACATTCAAGAACAATTTTTGCACAACACAGTTAACCTGCCTCTAGGATTTGGTCGTGCCAAATCTTGTAGCCATCCATAACTATACAAAATTAACATGTAAAAAGCAAGCAGGATTTAGGTTCCTGTGCTATAAAATGTTGACCAACAAAACTATACTTCTAAATTCTCAGTACTTCCCCCCAAAGTGCTTTAAAGCATTTTTATGATCCAAAGCTTATATTTCCTTATAAACAGATATACAAGACAAGGTCCAATCAAACTGGCATCTGAGAGGCGCTTGCAAAGTTTGAGGTAAGAATCTACACCACCAGATTCTTGGATGCTTTTCCTTAGCCCTTGCAGCACAGCTGCCCTGTCCAAAAACTCCGGGCACAAACCCAAATCAAGCATTTTTATTACTGTTTCTGCAGCATCATCAAAATGTCCCCCTTTAATGTACCCTCTTAGCAACCATGATAGGCTTTTCTTTTTACGCAGAGAGCTGGTAACCTCTGTTCTCGTAAGCAACCGTCCTATAGCACTGGCCTCCTTTTGGGAAGCACAGATGGCTAAAACAATGTCATAAAGGTCTGCATCAGCCTCTTTACCAACAAGTTTCATTTCCCACAACTGCCTTTCAGCCTCAAGTCCACGCCCAGAGCAGATATACATTGCCAGGAGCCTCTCATGAACCACCCCATGGAGTGAAGAACTTCCCTCCTGAATCACCCAATTGGACAACTGTACTCCATCAGATAGAAGATCTGACTGATACTTCTCGATAAGCCCAACATTTTCTGTATCAAATTCAGCTATCAGCCCAGCCCTTGTAAAACCTTTCAACTTGCGCAAAGCTTTAGCAAGTTCATTTAGTTCCTTAACCACAGCTGTCATTGCAATGAGGTAGCTGTAGACCTCTGGCTTCAACCCAGATTCCCTTAGATGAATCACCAACTTCACTGAATCCCTATAGTTGCCCCCAACCTGCAGAAACACATTCAATAGTTTCATTCACATAAACTTAGGAAACTCTAAAGATTTCAGAACAAACCTTACAAGCCCAAACTAGTGCTAACAGTTTTCCTTTCTACCTAGATATGTTCAGATAACTAACCAACAGTATAGCAGTAATCATTGACAACTTGTATCCATTGGGTATAATCCGATGACAATAACGGGTTGAAGAATCAAACTATTATCCTTTTGATCTATATAATCTATTAACAACATTAGCACTGTGAGTGAAAAGAGCCGCCAAATTCTTCAAAACTGGACACACTGTCCTAAAAATTCAGTGCGGACAAGGTAAATTCAACTCAAAGCCAAAGTGATCCCAACCCGAAAATTTTATCACTAAAAATGAAGCGTGGACAACGCAAATTAAGCAGCATTTAAATTAGTAAGGGAAGATTAATACATTTAACAATTCAACAGCATAATATTGAGAACAGTACTAAACAAGCACTTACCATCATCTTCCAAGCAAGATAGCCAGTTGGCCCTCCTTTATGCCCATCTGTATCGTCTTCCTCCGAATACACAATTCCACGTCTCAACACCTCTTTTACAAACAGAACCGCCTTTTCCTTCTCACCCATCTCCCAATACAAAGAAATCACCTTCTCCATCATGCTAAAACTCGGCTTCAAACCCACACAATCCATGTCCACAAGAAGGTCAACCACATCCCCAGTGTCGTGCTCCCCCTGAATCAATTTCTTGACCCAACTACACATTATGGAAACCATAAGATCCATCGTCTCCTTATCGACCCGGTTCTCCTTTCGGAGCCACTCAAACACCTCAAGCGCACACCATGAGTCCCTACCCTCCTGAGAAAAGTAGACTAACACAAGCTGTAACTCTCTGGCCGATAACCGGTCGTTCATTTCCTCAAGAACATCGGAGGGTTCCCTTGTCATTCGCTCCAATTCTTCAATCGCCTCAAAGAAACCTTCACCCATTTCATCCTCGTCGTCGCTAGTCAGGAACTGGTCCAATTCAACAGATTTGAACAGCCTAAAGTCTCGAACTTTACTCGACTTCGCAACGATGAAGTTGGGTTTTTGGTGCTTGCAGATTCTAGGAAAAATCCTAGCACAGGATTGTGCTGAGAAACCACGGAGACCGATAAAACGCTGCCGTTTAACTGAAAATAACGAGTGGGTCAACGAAGCAAGCCCCTGAGCAGATGCCATTTTTCTTCAATTGAGAAAACCCAAACAATATACCCTGCGTTTGGCTGCCGAGAAAATCAAGGGAAGTTAAAAAGAAAACAAAAATTTTGAATCTTAAGCTTCGTGCTGTAAAGTACACCTCACGTCAACCGAGTCAAAAGAGTGGTATATCAGCTATCAAATATTCATCCGTGAAGTAAAGCCTACCCTTGCCTCGCTCTGGAATTTAATTTTCAAGAAAACCCAGAACAAATATTCAAAGTTCTTAACTTTCTTTCTCTCATTCCTAAAATTTCTCGGCCACCAAACTGGGTATTAGGATTTTCAGCTCGACAAGCTGAAATAGAAGGGAGAATTGACGAGGAACGCAAAGGGAATGAGAGAGAGCCCGAAGACATGTGCCGGATGTGTGATCATCAAAAACCCTATAAAAGTTAAAATTGAGAATTTAGGAGGGTTTGGATTGATCGTGATTTGTGAGGTGCTCCTGCAACGGCCGAGAGAGCCTTTGCCACCACTGTCCTGTGTGACATTGACACCCAAACCTTTCTCTAGATTTTTTTTCACCGTTGCGCCAGGTGACGTGGCCCAAGTTAGACTACTCGGCGGAATCTGGCGCGGAACGGCCACGTGTGAATACGAGAAATGCTCCTCTGCTGCGCGTCATACCTGATTGAGTTGTGGACACGTGGACGACTGTGGACGGCTATTTTGGTGAGTTGTTTCCATTGACCACTCTCACATGTGTTTTACTGATCACAAGAATTTCTCCAAATCCAAAGTTAACCTCAAACATTGAATTGCACGTACATTCCAAGGTGTAATTTTGAAGAATTTTTGTATAACATCAATAGTTTTTAAACAAAACATTATTGAAAGAATCTTGTAAAAACAATTGAAAATCTGAGGACATTGGTCAATTGGGGTCTTAATTTGCAGATCATTGATTTCAGGTTGGAATTTTCATAGCACTTTGGTATTGTATGTGTAAGGAATCCTCCACTCCCTTGTAATTTATATTATCGCTTATATATATATATATATATTTTTTAAAAACCTCATGTAAAATTACAAAGCTCATAGATGTTGTAAAAATGGAAAAAAAAAACAATGGTATGAGGTATCAATGAAAATAATTTTATTTTTGGTAGCGATTTAAAACCCACTTTATTAATCATTGTTCTGGCCAAATATCTGGCAAGCCCAAGCAACTTCCAAAATAAAAATCCAAACCCACCACGGATAAAATGCATTAAACACAAAATAAAAGGCCAAGATCCTTTTTTAATTATTATTATTAGAAGAGTCCAAGCTCCATTCAAAAAAACCAAAGAAATGAAAGTCCAACAACTTGTATTTGAACAAAACAAAAAGCCACACCAAACTACTAAGGAAACAATGCAACTAACAAACCAAAGACAAAGCAACATAAATCCATGTAATTCATAAAATTTCATATGAAGGTATGCTCCTTCTGGTTCGGCTCGGTCTTAAAGGTCACCACACCTTCCATCTCCTTCACACCATCCTCTGACTTCATATCATCATCATCATTCCCCTTGGGCTCTGGCTTGGGTTGACTTGAGCTCGCATTTTCAGTTTGCCCCGCCCCGGGATCCGGACCAGCCATCGAGGCCTGCCCTAGCTGGTTTTGTTGGCTTTGGTTTTGTTGCTTCTCCTTCTCTTTTGCCACATTGAGCTGCTTCTGCACTTTCACTTCTGTTGCTCTTTCTCCAGCTTGTTCTGTATACAAAATGAGAGATAAATTAAAAGGAAAAACATATAATCCTCTCTCAATTACTTATATACAAAAGAGACTGTTTAAAAGGATATGTTCTAAAACAGGAAAAGACCCAAAAGAAAAAGCACTGCTCAGGTGCTTTTTGGTGTTATTTCCTAATATTATCAAAAGTTCCATAAATCTGTATTGAAGTGAATATTTATTTATTTATTTTTCTTCTTTTTTTTATACGCAAACGATATTCTAATTTAATCTAATCTAAACTAGGAGAAGGGGGATTCGAACTCACTCGCACATCTATTCTTTTTGTCTAAAGTATAATCTGGCTGCATAAACGAAGGAAAAGTAAACTCACCAATCTAACAGTGAAAAACGTATTTTACATTAAATGCTACTTCGTAGAAGCAACTAGAAAGCAGAAAGAAAAATAGTACGAACGACGAGAGATAAATTGTACAAGGTTCAAATCAAGGACTTAATTTGCTAGTATATCTAGCTAGCTACCTCATATAAGTTGATATAATTTTTTATTTTTTTATTTTTACCTTTCCTTGAGTTTGAAGGTTCCATCTGTCGACCAGACTGATTAAGGCCTGAATTTGCCATCTGCTCCATTAACCTTGCCTGTTCCCAATTCATCAACCTGCTGCTTTCATTTGCGTTGGCCTGCAAGCGGGCCTTCTGTTGGCTCAACTGCAGTTCCCTCAGCCTGGCCACCTCTTTTTTGTTCGCTTCGATTTCAGCTGCCAAATTAAAACACATTTTTCATTATCCAACACACAAACTACCTCTGTGTATATATATATACAAAGAGTTTCGGTTGAGGGACACCATTGTAGAGCCCATCCCGCATTGTATTTCACTAATCCAAACGTCTATTTTGTAGATATTCATTTAAAGATCATCTCTACAAAAAATCACTTGAATCCAATATTATTTGACTATTCAATTAAATTATTGAATATGATATCTTGAAGCATTGTGTTAAGTGATTTTGTTTGTCTCAATTAGATGCTTTAATGATTTTTAATTTGTCTGATTTTTTGTAAGGATGATCTATGAATGAAGACTTGAAAAATAGACAGTTTGGATCGCTCAATTTTTTTTTTGTGAAGTACCCTAAAGAGTGTCCATCAAATAAAATTATTTGAAGAAGTCCTTAATAGAAAGGGGCTATATATAAACCATCAGTGATGGTGAAGATATATATGGGGTACTGGATAGGGTTTTACCATCTTTCATTAACTTGTCCCTGGCGTAAGCAGCTATCTGTTGGTTCAAGGCCTTTTGCTCCATTTGTAGATAATGCTTGTGGTGTGTGTAGAACTCAACTTGAGGAGCTAAAAAAGCTATTTGAGCCTATGTACACAAACATTAAATGAGATATCAAATAATTATATTTAAGATATTTTTTTCATACTCAAATTAAGTAGCAAATACAATGTATTTTGAAGTTGAGTTAATTCATATATATGTTGAGGGAAATATCTCTGAATCGTATGGTTTCTGTGAGAGCTCCCAATGGTTACCTCTAGAGCCTTCGCCTTCCTTTCCATCTCCGCGATATATTGTAGTTTCTTCAGTCTAGATTTCTGCGCCGAGGCCCGGTTTGAAATGATTCTAAAAAAACCATCAAATATCCGCATGAAAATGTTAGATATATAATAACAAAAATAATACGTTACCTAAAATTACTGTTATATATTTGGACCACATATTCTAACTACGTACCTTATTAACAAAATCCCCTAATAGGAAAAAAACTTACATGAAACGGGGATAAAACTATTTTGCTATCTTCGGCTAATCACAATATGTCATTCGTGTGATAACTTTTCAACGTGACATTCTGTGATTGACCGGAAATAGCAAAACAGTGTTATTTCTATTTTATATAAGTTTTCCTGCTCTAATAAAAGTAGAATTGGGACCCACATTAATACAATATACATAAATGACTTGACTCTATTAAAGAGGTGGTCAACAAATTTAAAGTGGTACAAACAAAATTATTCTAATGTGGTGAACAACAAACTAATGTATATAGTTGATGGTTACCGACCGTTTTAGCTTTTTTGGATCCATGGCCTCAGCGTCCGCGTTTTTGCCCAGTTTGACCTGAACACCATCCACAGTTACAGTTTTGGCTTTGCCATTAGCATGGTCATCATCACTATCAGAGCTTGGATTTTTTCCACCATTATTACCAGCTGCTGCAATAGAAGGAGTGGTATTAATATTGTTGAGCCTGTTGGCAATGCCAGCATTAATCCCGGGATTAAGGGCATTAATCCCTGGATTAAGCTCCGAAAACTGGCCATGGATGTTATTGGCACTACTGCTGCTTGCACCACCCATTCCTTCAGCATGGCTCATCCAGTAGGGTTGTTGTCTCCACCCTTGAAATGAACCAGTTGGGGGTAAAGGAAGGTTGGGTGGAGGCATCATTGAGAATTGCCTCGGGTCGATGGGTCTATTAGCCCATGATCCAAATCCCTCGCTAAAGCTAAGCTTCTTGTTTGGATCCATAGTTTTGCTCTCACTCTCTCCTTTTTCTCTTTCTTTGCAAAGAAAACAAGAAATGCTAGAAAACACAGACACACACCAGGAGTATAGAAATAATGTCCTTATAAAGGGGAGAGCAGGAATTTGTGATGGAGAACAAAGCACTCAGAAATCAATGTGTACACTTAACCTATGTTTATACAGACAAGATACAGAAAAATTACCAAATATTACCATCCCCCCACATTATTGATTGGCGCCTACAAAGCTGTCATTTAGTCTCAATTTGAAAAATCTAATAGATCAAATTACAAAACTAGTCTTTTACACAAATCATGTTGGATTGAGGTAGGGTTGGGTAGTTTGGTCAATTTGCAGAGCATCATTTAGACAAGTGCTGATGGTGCTTAACATATTTGAACTTGGTTTTCCCTTAAAGGGGTTTCCTCAAAATTTCTTCCATGTATATAACCTCATCTCGATCAGGTTTGTTTTGTGCCAACCCTTTATGTGTTGTGAGAAGAACGTTGTATGAAAAATTTCAATTTAAATATTTTTCCTAATTGTAATGAAGACAATTGATATGGATTAAACTGATGAATTGACGCAAGGTATGGATTAGCCCTAATCATTACAGTACAACAATATGATCATCAGCCACATTGTGCCATGTGGACTGCCTGACATCACATTGAATAAATTTTCAACAATAAGATCCTAATACTAGTGAAGTACATGCACTTAAGGTTACTAGCTTTCAATCTTGCTGGTCTGAGGATCAAGAAAAATTAAAGGATTTTCAATCATTTTTATATATAGAAATGGCTTGATTGACAAAAGAAAAAAAAAATCCAGGTACATAAAGTAACGCATATATATATATATATATATATGTATGCTCTCATGTAATTCATTGTAGAGCGGAGCCACTTCTAGGCCAGGAGTGGCCTTGGCTCCCCCTAATTTTTTACCTCCCTCTACCATATTATATATAATATTATATATTATATATACTTAATAATTGACAACTTGTAATTTAAGTTAATGGACTCTCTAAAATAAATTAGACATGATTAAGTTCAAAATATTTAACTCTAACATGTAAGTTTTAAATCATATGTATTTTATATACTTTATTTTCTATTTCGGCCACCCCAATTTTACAATTCTAGCTCCGCCATGTAAAGACTTTTCTAACTCTAGATTAATTCCTACACAAAAACTTGGTTCAAGTAAATCTTACAAGAAGCTAAGGAAACACAATTAAAAATAGAAAGCAAACAAAAAATTATGTCTT